TTTTTTTTTTTTTTTTTTTTTTTATCTTTTTTGTTCAAAACTGAAGAAAGAATTGAATTAAGAATTTTTAAAAGGTCATATATAATTTTATGCATTTAGCCACATTTTTGGTTGCCGCTGTTAAGCCTTGAAAATCGCTTTAATGGCACTGTTGTAAAGATTAATTAAAAAGAGGAACCATACTGGGAAATTTCTTTCTCAGCGGTAACGGTGATAAATTGATTTGTCGTTGACAGCTAAATATACCTTTTACGCATTAGTTATGACTACTTATACAGGGGAATAAAAATATTTTTGTTTAATATCCTCACTTTTAAATAATATAGGATTAGTGATGTGGGCAAAAAGTAACAAAAAAAAAAAATTTTGTATATATCCGATTTGAATAATATAACCAAAAAGTGTTAAAAATTAACTTCTGTATGGCAGTGACAGGTGGATGATGAGGATTGACGACGACTGTGATGACAATTATTATCATTGTGGTAGAGGGATTTTACCACTGATCAATGTACAAATAATGGCAACATTTTGACTTAGCCAAACAGTTAAAATTTTTGCAGTAGTTGTTGAGGAGTGTAAGGTAGATGAGGATTAATATAAAAAAGGTTGAAAACTTTGGAAATGATTTTAATATTGGCATCAAAAACAAAAGCATATAAAACTTAAGTTATAATAATTTTTTTTCTTATACGACTTTTAATTATTCTGGTCACTAAAATATTATTTTTATTACTGTTATTGTTTATGGCATCTCCTCTGATCAATGTATTCATCTGTCTGTCCACTGGTCTGTTTATTCATTGGTATTCTGTATGCACTGATATATACTAAATGTTTTACAATATCTGTATATATCTTATAGAATATGTGCTATATGTTCGTTCGGTACCGCGATACGCAAAAAGTTATTAAGATACTTTTTCTCGTCGGCCCATCGTCACAAATTATGGCAACATATTTTTGACTAAATTTTCTGTGTTTTATCTTTTTGTATCTTTTCAAGCAAAAAATTTTCTTTATTCGCAAAATTTTTGGGAATTTTATTTAACCGCATAGATGGCAGACAATAGAGGATAATATCTCCACTTTTTCCTGTTATTATTGCCTTCTTCTAATTCGTCTTCTTTTTCTTTCTTCTCTTCATTGAAACATCTCCTGTTTTGAATATTATTTGTAGAAAATTTATCAAGTGACCATATTCGTCTTAGTAATTTCTTAAGAGTAAAAAAATTTTTTTTTTAAAGTTATAATAAAATAAAATATCTGTAACAGCAAAAAAAAAAATTTTTTTTTGGCACTTTTTTTGTTGAAATGAAAATGAAAGAACAAAAATTTAATAATATCTATTAATAACATTATTACCTTATTATTTTTTTTTTGTGGAGGACTGTTGCTATTAATAAACGGTTCTTTATTACCTATTCTA